GGTTCAAAAGATCAGAGGAATAGCAGCGCCCTAATGTTTTGTTAAAAAAGGATTCGCTCTAACGGTCCCTGGGCAAGGTCAGTGGATCATTGTTTTTGTGTGGACTTTCATTGGAACGTTTTGCGGGGGTCCCTTTCAAAATGCCACATTAATGTGTCAAAGAAACTGGTTGTATAGAAAGAACTGTTAAGCTGCAGGTAGAGGTAAAATGGAGTCTTCGATTTGGGATGAGTTTGTCTTTATAACATTATTGTGATTGATAAATCTTTGATATTTTTGTTGTAAAAAAAAAATGTTCCAAATACAAAAAATACATTACAGAATAATTTTATGTTTTAATTTTTAACTCATAATGCTATCAATTTCTATAATTAAAAAAAGTTAGGAATCAATACTTTTTGTTTTTATATTCATTTGTAACTTTGCAAGAAAATTTAGGTTTTGGGTAAAAGTCCGGTTTACAAATAATTGTATGACTACACAGGAATAAATTTAAGGTACAGGTGCATTTTGGTAATTTCTCAAAGCATGTAAATAATACTGTATGGCGACAGGACGACGGACCCGGGGCGATCTTGAATATTACCCTAATGACGATGCCATTATGGCATCTGACCATATACTCTCGTTTATTAGGGATAATAACGTTAACGAGTTTTTTATTCCATCCATCACAATTTTGGAACAATTTTTTCTGTACGACTCGATGTCAAATTATATACGTCTAGGATTTTTTGCTGTAATTTATAGTTTGTGATCATCCTAATTCAAGATATCGATTTGATCTTAAGTGTCCAGTATTTTTCTATACTTGAACACTTATACTCATTTTAAACTCAGTACAGTCCGGGAACGTCTTATATTAGAAGAAAAATGATTAATAAATAAGTAAGGTTACTTATTTACTTAAGTAAGGTTACTTATTTATTAATCATTTTTGTATAGGTATACAAACTACGACAGATATTATATAATATAACATGAATTTTCAAAAAGAGATACCTTTTATATTTATCTCAACTATTTATATTCAACTAATATTTTATCCAAATGAAATATTTCTATCAAACGTGAGCTTCGGTTCACTGATTATGAAATTAAAATCCACGTCAATCACACGATATCTGGATTGACATATCTTTTGGACATTGGTTGATCCCATGTTAATTTAGTGGTTTATTGGAACTGGTTGTGCTCTGAGCTCTTGAACGTGATTTGTATAATTGATCGGGAGACAACTCCGAAAAGTCGAATTGTTACGCGAATCGACTTTATTATATGCCTTTTTTTTAGTGTTACCGCATTCGTGAAGTTATTAAGTCCAGTCTGGTAATGATATAATTAATAAGCAAGTTGGAAAACAATTTTATTTTTGGATAAATATATAAATTTAATATTTGGATTTTAGGTGTTAGGTGCACAGTTTTATATTCAAAACGTTTAGAGATTATGATCTTAACTAATCACGCTAGTTAAATAGAAGCTGTAAAAGGTTACAATTATTACAACAACACAAACAATATATGGAAGCAATTTATACAAACAATATATGCAAGGTTCTAGCGTACTTTTCGATCATCGAACAAACACATTGGGGTAAACTATGTTCGTTTACTCCAATGTATTCGTTCCAATGTTTGTTCCAACTTTAAAACCATCAAACTAATGCATTGCAACAAAATTATCAAACCATAATAATAATTAAAATATCTCCTTTAAAGGATTTTAATTAATACCAATATGCAATGTTACTAAACTTCATAATATTGACATACATATGTATGTTGGGTTTTCAATGCATATTATATCATTTTCTATACCGTTATTTATCGTTATATGATTTCTAATTATTTATTATTTAATAGACTTGTTGTTCTGTCCACTTCGATATATTTTACATGCCGTTAGTCAAAGCTTGTTCGCTTTACTTCATCTGTCATGTCTTCTTTAGTATTATTTACATTACGAACTGTATAATGTATATATAGTATATAAATACGCCTTTATTAATTGTTACAGAAAATGACAGAAGTAAATGGAACAATATTTTGATTAACACCTCAGTTATATCTTAGAATACATATTTTGGGCTCTTAGTAATGAATCTTTTTAATTTTGTTCTTAATGAAATTTCAAAATGAATTTGGTTGAACCTTGTTTAAAAAAAAAATTAGGTTAAATTTATTTTAAATCAATAGTTACATCCTATTAAATAATTATTTTAATTGAAATTAGCTTATATAAACAAGACATACATCCTTGCAATCAATTCCATAGGAATTCTTACGAACATTCCTACTATTAAGTTTTTATTAGCCCACGTGCGTCCAAGTCTCACCCTTTATAATGAAACCTGCACGCTTGATTTAAAATCAATAAGGCGTTGTATAAGATTACTTTCCCATTCGCAGTGAGAGATCGATTAGGACACACATCTATTGTTAACAGAAATCGATCTAGTTGCCAACGGTTGTATCAAACGATTTTTTTATTAATATGTAATTGGAATTTTTTAAATTTTCTTTAATATTATATTTTACAAAATACTATAAAGACTTTGTTAGTTAGCAAAGACTTTGTAAGTTGTATGATAAATAGACAAAGGAGAACTATGGTTCAATTATGATGGATTGCATGTGGAGTTGCAATTAATATTGGTCAGTAATTAACGATGTCACAGAACATTACCAGAGATGGTAAACATGAGTTATGCGCCCGCCTTATCTTCGATCAGGTCGTCCGAACAACTATGTATTTGAATCATAATCTAGTTCATCTAAAATGTAGTCAAAAATATAAATATGTTGTTATATATTTTTAGTAAGAATGAAAAATTCTCAGTATTATTAATATATCTGTTGATTCGCATATATTTTTTATATATCTGTTATTTTATATATAAATTTGATCTTCATAAATGTTGTTAATAATAAAAAATTAAAATAATATCAACAATTAATCCAACGACATCATTCATCATAAAAAGTTACTCCGTATTTCTTTCAAATCTCAACAGACTTCTATTCTTTTTGTATTCAATACTGTTTTTGTCGAAGGGATTGGAAAATATGTTTTGTTATTTCTTAAATGAATTCGGTTATTTCTTAAAAGTATACTTATTTCATTGTACAAGTAGAAAAATTAAAAAAATATATATTTTTAAATCTTTTGTAGTTAAATTGTTGATAGATATTGTTAAAATGTTTGACAGCTTTTTTCTAAAATACCGCTATATAAAAATGGTAACTTTAATCATAATTATTGGTTTGTCTATATATCATACATATAATATATTTTTTACGTTCTATTTGGGTTCAACTTGATTAAGAACTAAACTTTGCTTGCGGTTTCTAAGTTACAATGTCGAGTGTGATATATTGAAATGCCAAGTAATAGTAGATAGCTAACCATTCTACACGATAGGTTTGAAATGTGTATCTAAACCTATCTACCTATCTTACCTATCCTATAAACCTATCTTACGAGACATTTTTCTGTTACAAAAAGTCAGAATACCAAGTTATACTGTATGATCTAAATATTTACAGCGGTTATAGAATGAGGCAGCAATTTGTAGCTAGTCTATCTTACACCCGTGACTTCGTCCGTGTTATTTGAAGCCTTCGCTTTGTTTCGTTTGTATAAGAGTAAACCCGTATTCTTATACATACCGGTCTCCTTAAAACTGTTTTACTAATTAATAGTAAACTAGTAGGTAGTTATGTCAGGAAACCCAAACAACTTACTTATATTACATTCTTTATAATTTATAATATTATATAAAAAGAATAATAATAATTTCTAAAATATGCTATATATTTATATTAAGATAGCTATTAAAATCATTTTCCCTTAATCCGAAACCCGGAATAATGTACGTAAAAGCTGTTATGATCTCTACAAGGTACGAAGTACCATACAAGTTTCTTGAAGTTTTAAATAGCTTCGATTCCAGATAACATTGATGAGATATTCAAATTATTCGACTTTGGACAATTTTTTATATATTTTTATATTATTATATTCTTGATTATATAACAATGAATAAGAAGTTCGTAAAAATTTCTCTTAAAAATACTAATTTTTACTCTTAAAAATCAATCAAAAGAAATTATATTAGAAGCAATTTTAAGTTACTTTTGAATGTTCTTGTTTCTTTATGTTGCCATCTATGAGGGTCCTAATGAAACTGTCGTAATAATTCTTTGATACTACTTTCTATCTTTATGCGAATGTCACGACATCTGTGTAGGAATCGCGTCAATTTTATTTCACACTTCAAAGCCGACGTCATTCGTATAAAGTTTAAGATAATTGTAATAGATGGCGGTGATTATATTAAAGTTTTCATATATTTTTTATATTTTTATAAGTCTTACTGTTTAATTTAAAATATAAGTTTTTAAGACAAAAATGAAATAATTAAAGGTTTATTTAACATTTATCAAATATATATTTTTGAAGAAAAGTCATTTTGGAAATATTAATTCGAACTAGCAACGAGTCTACAATAAATTTAAATGAAATAAACCCAAAATTAAGATTTAACTATCATTGTGTCATCATCATCCGTTGCGACCATATAGGAAGCAACCAATTCTGATTACATTAATTTTATATACCGCTGAAAAAATTTACTTGTTATCATAAATGTATCGAAGGAAATTATTTTTTTTAATACTTAAGATAAGTCTAGTAGAAAATAATACGTGTTATTTGAATTTAAATAAATTTCTCTTGATGCTGTTTATTTAACGAGTAAGCAGTTATCTCATACAATAAGTTTGCCCCTTTTAGTATTAAAATGAAAGTTATTTATTAGAGAATGGACTCTAACACAAGTATGTAGCGAATCTTTTGAGATGCCTCAAGTAAGCAAATGAAAGGTACTTGTCATACAGTACTTTTACGCTGTACAGCATGTTGCACCGGTACATGCCGTTACTGACCCACTCACACCACCTAACTTCAGTTCAACGCCAGCACGCCACTTGTTAACAATGTTCTTTGAAAGCTTTGTTTTAAATTTGTCTTTTCTCGCAGTTTTAATTGTGGCATTGACCTTCGACTATGTTACTAAATATTTCAACTACTGGTATATTAGACATATACCGAATAGGACGCCCATTCCGTTTTTCGGAACTGATTACCACAGAGTTTTGGGACTAAGGAACACATCAGAAGAAGTAAATATATTGTACAATAAGTATGAAAAAGAAAAGTACATTGGTTGCATCAAGAGCCGAATGCCGGATTTGATTGTCAAAGACCCTGAATCTATCAAAAAGATTCTGTCGACAGATTTCTCAAATTTCCATTGCCGAGGCTACGGTCTGGACAGATCTCAGGATGTTTGTTTACGAAACAATTTGTTTTACGCTGAGGGTGAAAAGTGGACTCTATTGCGAAGAAAATTTGAACTTTTATTGAATAATATGAATAACAATATTCAAGACAGCCTACACGACTGTTTGTCGGGAACCAACGGAGATACAAACGTTCAACAATTATTGTCAGATATATTGGATACTGTGTTTAAAGATATGCTCATAGATAATAACAATGATGGATCAGCAATAAAATATATGAGGAAGATTATTCAAAAGAGAACCTTATATGATAAAATAAAAAGCTATTTGAAAAATATTTTCCCGTCTATTTACAACGTATTGGGATTTCATGTAATACCAAAGCAATCTCTAAAACAACTCATCGATGTTATTAAAGATTCAAGATTAATGAAAGTTATGAAGAAAACCGAACTAATCTTGCAAGACGAGATGAATAATGTGAAAAAATATGACACAGATTCGGAATTTGAAGCGGCGTTTTCAACTATTGCTCATTTTATCAGTGAAGGATATGTGCCATGTCAATATTTGCTTACTGTTCTTTTATTTGAATTAGCTAAAAATCCAGATGTACAAAGTAAGGCAAGAGATTCCATTAAATCGTTGGCAAATAAGGACGAAGAAAACAATTACTTCAAGAATACTATCAAAGAAGCGTTGAGATTGCACCCACCATATTCGGTTATAACGAGAAAATGTATGAAATTATATCAATTTAATAAAGATATGGTAATTGATAAAGGAGTTACAATAACCATACCAGTGGAAGCTATTCACAATGATGACAAGAATTATAAGGATGCCAGTATATTTAACCCCAGTAGGTTTTCCGATGTAAATGAGAAAAATTGCACATTTATACCATTTGGTTCTGGACCTAGGAAATGTATTGGTGAGTTATTGATATTACAATAATAAGTAATTAAATAAGATTATTAAAATATTTCTAGATTCTCATATAAAATTTTCGACTTTAATTTTATGGTATTTTATATTGCACTTATATCACTTTTAATTTTACCATAATATAAGTAAATTTTATTACTTATTAATGTCCATCGATAACAGTGGCAATTAATATTGAATAATTGCCAACCCACTACTACTAAAATTTATTAAAAAAGAAAAAAAAAATGTTTAATGTTTGCTTTTAAATTAAAAGGAGGCTTTTTTTTTAGGAGAGCAATTGGCGCTTGAAATCGTTGGATCAATAACTGCCACTATTTTGGAGAAGTTTTATCTGGAAGCCTGTGATAAGACACCAATTGTACTACCAGTCACTGACTTCAACTTTTCTAGATGTATTGAGCGCGATATATGGCTCAAATTTAAACCTATCACTGACCTAAAATAACTTTATGGATACTTTTCAGTTTGTACTTAATTTATTTTAATATTTTTGTAAGTTTTACCGGTTGTGTTATTATAAGAAAAACCTGATTAAAGATTTGATTGAATTTAAATGTATGGTTTGTGGGGTATATTTATTGATATTCAAATAAAATTACGTTCACATTATTGTAAGTTACTTTGATTTAATTAAGTGATCCTTTTTCTTGGCATAAATTTAAAGCAAATAAAGCTTTTAAATATATATAAAAAAGGAAAACCGAAAGCAATATGAAACAGCTGCCATATCGGACATGCTTCGTAAAGGAAATATTTTTTGAACCATAGCATGATAATGGAGTCTGTCAACGATCCAAATACAGTAGGCTCACCATAATTTGTTTAAGGCAATGCCGGAGAGAGATTGCAGGGATAAAGATCCGAATAAGCTAACAATATTGAAGATTTGTAACCCTATTACACTGCTATTTTCATATAAACTGTTATGTATTCTGCCCTAGGTTTTATATAAATTGAAATTGTGAAAGGTTTTGTATTATGAATGATAAAAATCATTACAACCTCATAATTTTACGTGGCCAACTTTATATTTATATTTGATAGAATTATTTAACGCGTTCGCCTAATGTCTCAATAGTCCTACAAATATGGGACACGCAAGCAAAAACCATGTCCTGATTTATTACGCTCTCCAGCCCACGACCTTCTTCCGTCATTGTGTTTCATGACGGATGATATTCCGAACAAACGTTGAGGTTTTTTGTAAACAAAAAAGATAGATTTGGTATTGGCGTATTATAAAGTATCCAAATACATTAAAACATGCCAAGTACCTACGTAATATTATATTATCACTTAGCAAAAAGTATTGTAAGTGTGAAAGGTTTTTTCTGTATGTATGTTAATTATATACACGTATATTTGAAATAGTAAACAAACCTTAAAAGAATATACTGGAATAGTTTACACATTATTATGAAAGGAATTAACAATACTTAATAGATGACTTTTTATTATTTCTAGACTTCATTACTGTACGGTTAATAAATATCATAGCTGCTTGCTTGATTAAATTTTGTTGAATATGTGAATTAATCTTGTAAAAGCTGGTGTTATATGTTAAAGATTATATTATTCAATTTCAAATGATTTATAAAGAAAGTATGAGAAAAAGGAGTCGAGTGACAATGTTTGTATGAAAGTAAATTTAAAAAATTAACCATCAAAGTTACAATCTTAAGGAATTGAAGGGGCTATTAAATTTTCAACCGGGAATATAAAATTATATACAGCGCGTCTTTTGAAAATTAGGTTTCCATTATGTTAAATTATTCAACGAGTGTAGCTAATAAAAGTTTCAAGACGACGGATTGGGTGAAAGACTGGAAGTTGGGCCTAATCAAATATTTTTATGATCGACGCCTTTTACGAGCTTTGATGCTGGGAGGTAAGTGACGAGTGATCCAAGAAAGGAAGGTAGCGGAATGATTTGGTGCAAGAACTCCGTGTGTCGTTTATGTATTGTTAAAGATTACTTTTAATAGAATATAAAAGAACTACTAAAGCTGAAATCATTGCTAAACTTCAAACTAATCTAGTGCAGCTATGTGGTAATTAAAAAAAATAGCCTTATTCTCACATCAGTCAATGGCTAAATTACTGTTTCATTATCACCAACATATTAAACTCAATATTTCTGTGCTGTACTGACCCATTAATACTACTTATTACACACATATCATTCAATAATAAATATACAAATTTTATTTAAACCATGTTCAAGTTACTTAAGCGAAAGTATTATTCAGAGACAATACATCCGTGTACATACAGAAAAGATAATAAAACAGATATAAGATATGGTATGAAAAGTTACTGTAGTACTAAATTCTTTCTAATTATGATTACAATCTTTGTGACAGCCTGTTCTCTGTATTCTAAGCACGTTTTTAAAGATTTTTAAACATGAAATTGTGCTCTGCGTTCCCTCATAGACTTAGTCGATTGTATAAAATTAATTGGTTTTAATCTGTTTCAACAATGTTACTTTTTAAATGTAATAATACATATAAGATTTTTTCTTTATTTAACATTTTTAAATCTCGGTAGACAGTTTAGTATCTAAAAAAATATCAAACTTACCTTTTGTCTATTTTATTTCGATAATTTAAATGAAACCTTGAATTAATTCAATAAATGAAAACAAAGATAAAAAAAACAGCCGAAGGTTTACAATAAATCACCTTTCATATCATTTTGATTCTATAAGCGTTCCAGTTGAAATAAATAAGTAAACAAACGCTTTGTTTACCTACAATCCCTTTTCCCTCACAGGTATCACGTACGAAAACTCGGTATTTGTTATATTATAAATAATAAAGGTGTAATTAATTTTCGGATAATACATGATGAGCATCCTTAAAGTTAGAATTATAATTAAAATTTTACATGTTATAATATATACTCTCTATATTTGTCTAATATACATATACAGTCTTATTTTATTACTTTCAACTTGGAGAAATACAAACGTGAAAGGAAGAGCCTTTTGTGGTTGATAGAATATTATGTGTATAAAGTTTAATGTAACTTTTGTATGATGTATAAAATTGATCAATGAATGCTTAATAACGTTATTTGCCTACTGTCAACCTGTTGGTTTTTAATGTTATATGCCAAACCTTTTTATTAGGCATTATATGTATATGTTGTAATAAAGATCTCACAATGTCAAATATATTTATTAATAGTTCGATTCCTTATTACGAAATAACTGTCAAAAAATATTAGTTTTATATGAAAAAAAAAAACTGAAAGAAGATGATGCAGCTGAGTCTAGCATTATAAATGTTTGAATATAACTCCTAAATTCTTTCTATTTATGCATTTCTCTGGCTCCGTGTTGAAACAGAGAGTTTAACTATAATTTTTTGGAACGTATTTTCTAAAAAAGCTTTGTTAATCCGTATGAAATTCTATACCCACAGCTGTATTGCAGCTAAACAAAATAAAGAAGTTATACAAATAAGATTTCTAGAAACACATGTATGTAAATAGAGATAACATACATAACTGCATTAAAATTTAAAACCAACACTATAAAATTTCCCAATTACTAGCACAAATTAAGTAAATTTTTTTAATCTAAGTTATTAAATAGAAGAAGATTTTATATTGAAAACTGTGACCAAGCCGTTAAAAGTTATTGAGATATTTGACAGGGCACTCAAACCAGGCCTTAATTAGTCGAGTATTTTAATATGATAAAATAAATAAGCAGATAATTAAGCTAATGAGTGAAATGAAACTAATCCTCTTATAACAGTTTCGAAATAGCATCGTGTAAACTGTTTGTGTTTTTAAACTATAAGGCAAGTATTATAGAAAATAATAATAATTTTATAATATACTAAAGTATTTAAAATGAACACAATCAAATTCACAAGTAAGACTAATTCACATTATATATAAAGATCTATATAAAATTTTTTTGTTAAGTAAAATAGTTGTAAAAGCAATATTTGTCTTGTCAATTCGAATTGATATCTTGTTTTTTCTTTCATAAGATGATCTCCAGGTGTATCTCTAAAAAGGTGTCTTGGGAATAGAGAAACAGAAAAGTTGCGAGCTGACAAATCAGACAAGGAAGTGTCTTTATTGTGATAGAATCATTAAGTTATACATGTACAATCTACATGAATTCCATAATTTTAAACCCATTATCGAGTAAACTACCCTCTAGATAAAAACTTTGTGAAATAATTTTGGTTTTTAGTCTAATATCTATATAATAGGCAATATTCCACTATTTTATTTACTGAAATATCATGTACTTAACTAATGTAAATAAATATGACGATTTTTGACTCCGTTCATTTCATAATAAAAACTAGTGACAATTGTGTACAACTAGCTAGGCATGGAAACGGCTTTGGTTCAACATTTTTCATAAATATTAAAAGACAATAGAAAACAAATTCGGAATTTCCAAGGTGGTAAAAACTCATATTTAAGTTTAGTTTTAAAGTGGCAGATGACCTCTCTCTATCCCCCCCCCCCCTTTATTTCTTTCTCTAAAATCAAGTTCGATAACGCATTGGCAACATCTATTAAGTTGCCTATGTCCATGGGCAACGGTGACTGCTGTCCTTTAGTAGGCCGTCTGCTCGTTTGTCACCTTTTGATACATAAAAAAGTTCATAAACAACAAACAAACAATAATTTTTATGATTTATTTGACATGATATTATAAAATAAAAATATAATGGCGATTGAATTTAACGCTCAGTTTATTACAAATCTGTTTTCACTGTCTGGCAAAGTTCGCTAACATTTATACTGAAGATTTATGCGTCCACAAAGCGCCTTCGAGCAGAAATGCATTATGTTCAGAGTCATCCCATACGGAAGTTATTATGTACTGGCCAATATGTCGTGGTATAAATTTTACAACTTTTCAGAAAGAAGTTCCGATGATTTTATTAAAATTTGTGAAAATGTTTCGGCAAGAAGATTGATGCTAATAATAATAATTGAGACTTGAAAGACAAAGTTGAAAATTGAAAAACTTTACATGGGTTATCGTTGAAAAATGTTTTCGTTTTGTTTCTATCAAAACTTCCAATTAAGTTTTGATAGAAAATTCAATTCAATCAAGTAACAAGTAGTTAAACACATTATGGAAATATTAAATGAAGTTCTGAGTTGTGGATTTAAATTTTATTTTAATATAAAATATTTCACTCTAAACATTCCTGTGAAGAGTTAAAAAAATACTGTGGGTGAAAGCCATAAGTGTCTATTTCCTTAATTAAGACAATCTGAAAGTCTTTAAATTAATCTCTCATATTTAGAATACGAAAAAAAAGTATTAATTCGGTTTCTTTAAAAACGAATGAACTTTAATATGTTTACTCGTGCTACTTGAGTGAGCAAAATATATTTCGGTGCTCTAAAATTACGCAAGTAAATATATCATCATTTTAGTCAGCGGCAATATGTATATATAATTCATATTAAAACTTTTTGAAAGGTTTGAAATAATAATAACACTAATACGAAGTAAAAAGCATATACAACCGTTCAGTGCATCGGTTAAAATACGAGACTCTTTACGACAGATTTCTACACCCGATTGTTCCATTGTGTTTATGATAAAAACTTATATAACTCCAGAAGTAGAAAAACCATGACACAAAACATTATACAAAATCCAACGAAAAATTTACGTGTCATAATGTTGTATAAACCGACTATGCAGCTTCTTTTAGTTAAGAGTGAACATTGAAACATAGTAACAGGCAGTCATAATCATGCATTATTATCACACTTTATAAGTATATAATAATATACATACATTGGTAGAAATAATTACTTCTTTTTTATAATATTAAAAGGTAATAATGAAAATATCACTAGAGCTTTAATTTAGCATTTTATTAATCATTGTTATCTTTAGATTGGTGCCAACTGGAGCGTGACGTTCGGCAATGACACTTTGACTCATTTAAAACGCCATTTCAATTATACAGCGTATTTTTCAAAACGTCGTTTTTGTTATTATTTCTTTTGTCGTCGTTGCATTATACCTCGTTTTAAAATGCTAATGTAATGAGAAATTATGAATATGTTATGAAAAAATAACAAGATATAAAAATGTGAACACAAATATAAATATTAAACTATATGACCCGGCAGACTTTGTACTGCCTCAATCAAGAAATAAATTATGTCTTATTTATTTTTTTGGTGTTTACCTTTAAGCCATAAATCTCCGTGTTCTTAAGTGTGACAAAATGATTGACATATTAGTTAGTTGTCAAATCCAATGTCAAAAAACCTTTGTATGGGAAAGAAAAAAGCGTTGTTTTTAGGGTTTTTCCAGAAATTAATAAATTTTTTCAGCTTTTAAACCTTCTCTGAACCTCCACGAACATTTCAAGACTATGATAAGATAAATCCGTTCAATTCAGAGATCAAGGAACAGCAATTCATTTATATATATATAATACTAAAAGTATTTGTCATATTTTTAAAACATTATGTGAATAATTTGCCCAATCCTATATGAACACATGCAAAATATAGTATAAGTAGGAGATATAAATTAATATAGTATATATTGAATAAAAAAAACCATGAATTACCTTCTTAAAAAAGTAACAGCTTTACTGCAGCATTGTTTTACAATGTTTTTACTGAAAAAAAAATTCAAGAATTATACGAATTCAACTTATATGTTGGTCTCCGATCAATGAACACACCAGTGTGGGTCAGGAATACTCTTAGCAAACGCTTTCACCAGCATTGTGAGAAGTCTCAATACGTGGGTCAGCTGGAAAAACGACTCTAGTAAATGGTATTTGTATATAAAAAACCTACTATGGCAACCAATAACATATAAAATTCCTATTCGAAATTTTCGGAAAAATTCGGAGTTACCTTTTAAAGTATTGACAACTGTTATAATTTATTCAGGGACAGATAAATCGTAGCTAAATAATTGTTTACTGGGTCTATTTGCTCAATAAAAATGTTAGTAATTGGCAAATTGCGAAAGCAATAAAGGTAAGTGGCTGGAACTGCATTATCGTTAACTGTTGCCCAGATATTTGTTCCTATTGGTGTTCCTAGTTCCTAGTTATACCAGTGTTTTGCTCATTAATGTCAATTCATTAACAGCCATAAAATACTTATGAAATAAAATGTTGAATATGTATTACTATTAGAAGAAAACTGTCGAAATGTTATTATATTTATTACAAGTTGCGGTCTCAATATTTGATCAAATTATATTTAAATTTATATATAAAATAAATTGAACAAAGTAATAAATGCAATATTCAATAAAATTGCAGAACGATAGTTTAGATTTTAATGTAATATTGATATATTATAATAAGATTGGTATTAAAGTTAGCAACATTGACGTAAATACATTGATCGTTTGAGATAGCTGCTTGCTATCGTGCTCGCAGTAGCTTTGGGATTCCAAATACAAATTGGTTTAGTTATAAAACTATACTGTATGCACATTTTGTTGTCTCCAGTACTTTTAGTACAGTTTCAGTGTTATTTATTGTTAAGACCTAAGTTAACTATTGTTTCTGTAACTCCTGATAGTATAGCTTTGATATTTATTAAAAATATAAAATAAAAAGAACACGGAAACATTGTAATTTTAAATTTAGGCTATTAAATCGTTATAGGTGATTTTTTTAGTGAAATATCATAGTTATTCGCTTTACAAGGCCAGATCTAATCCTAGTATGGTCGTTGTAATGAGAGGATATAAATCATTCCTGAGGATTGTATACATCAAATCTGAACCTCAATTATCTTGATTTACAAGCCTCATTACATTATTAGGTGCATTTACGGTCATGAACAATTTAGCACTTATTAAAGTATGAGATTGTATATCACTGAAGATTGAGAATGTACAGAAGAATAAAATTGAATCATTGAAGTTAAAATGGTTAAGTTCTAGCAATAAATACATGGTAATAATATAAGATAGAATAAATTCCAAAAAGGTTTTTTTTTTAGTAAATGAAAGGGAAAGTTTAATTTCATATACATTTATTGAAAATGAATTATTTAAATACAAAAGTAACAAAATTTATAACAAACAACAAAATTATATTACATCATAACATTTCTATCTACAATGTAAAAAGAATGTAATGTTGGTTTTTACAAGGCGAAGTTGAAGGTGAAAAGTTTTTAGAAAATTTTTGTAAAGAAATACCTGGATAGTCGAGAAAAGAATAAAAAGAACGATAAAAGAAAAGCAGTGAAAAGAATAAACTAACTAACTGTACAAAATTTTCATATAAAATATAGTTAATATCACATTTTGATTCGAGATCAATGCTTGCCATGATGGAAGCCCCATTCTTTGTGGTCATGGTGGCCACCTTTCTTTCCATGATCATGATGGTCGTGGTGATGCTCCTCGTGGCCATGGTGCCCTTTATGACCATGGTGATCTTCATCATAATGATGTTTATCGTGGTGACCCTTTTTACCGTGATGATGTTCGTGGTGACCACTTTCGTGATGACCTCCCTTCTTGTGGTCCCCTCCGTGTTTTTCGTGATGTCCATGATGGTGCCCGTGCTTGTGGTGTTTGCCTTCATGATGATGGTCATCATAAAAGTGGTGATCTTTATGGAAATCGTCCTTGTGATACTTCTTGTGGTAACCTTCGGTTTTTTCACCCTTGTCGTGGTGTTTCTTGTGTCCATGTTTACCACCCTTATGGTGATGGCCATGTTCATGGTGTTCCCCATGATGATCGTGTTCATCCCAATGTTTTTTATGCCCGCCACCGTGTTCATGGTGATGTCCTGCATGATGATGTTTACCGTGATCGCCATGCTCACCTTTATGGTGATGATGATGACCTTTGTGGCCTTTGTGTCCTTTTTCGCCATGTTCGTGGTGATGATGGCTGTGATGCTCCTTGGCACCACCTTCTTCATGATGACTGGATTTACCACTAGCAGCTGCTACAAGATCTTTTTCATCTTCACCTAACTCTCTTGCATATACCGCCACAAGGCAGATTAGGCCAACTGCTATTATCAACTTCATGTTGACTTTTGTCTGTGCCATAATGATTTGATTGTGGGTCTTTTATACTAGATAAAATAAGATGTGGAAACCGTTTAGTAATGTTTAGTCGTGCAATATTCAGGGACAAGGCTGGGCGGCGAACCGTTAAGAGTGATTCGGAATTCTTTATTATATTAAATTTGGTGACATATTTAATAAATATAGTTTTCTTCATAATTATATGTTCATCGCATTTTGTTGTTGTATAAATATATCTTCATAATTAATGTACACGTAATTTTTGATTATAAAAACCTTTGTCTACAAAACGTTTTCAGCAATATGTGTGGGATATAAAAATATTTTTATTCCATTTCAATTTCCCTGGATGCTGCATAAAAAGTACAATCTGCATTGCCCTGTCGAAATTTAATCAAAACAACAATAGGGATTGTCCATGGTTGGCCCCGATTGCCTTATTCCGAAACCGAAAAGGACGCAAAAAAATTCAGATAACGTATTACCGTTATAAAAAGTCAACAATAATGATTTTCAACCCAGATTAAAAGAAAAAGTTAGACAGTTGCAACTAATGTCTACATATATAATTATACTTAACGTTTAAAACATAATCTCATAAGACTACTTCAATAACTAGTAAAGCAAGAACATAATTAAAAATAATGATCTGTATAACTAATTTTTGTTGCTAAAAAAATATATATATTTTATTTTTTAGTGTCAGAATAAGGAGTCTCGTAAGCAGACTTCCAACGGACGACCCTACAGGGACACTGGAAGAGCAAAGCTTCAGAGAAGCTACTATATTTCACCATTTAAGTTTCAAAACAAATATTTGTGTTAAAATGCACCGGTAAAAGTATAAACATATCTTCTATACTATAATTTGTGTATCTTATCATAATATATGTTGATCAGACATTCAACATTGACACTTATCTTTTAAAGGCTTGTTGCTCTTCAATTTATATATATTCTATAACAAACCACTTTAGTCACCTCGTTTAAAGTGTGTTGAAGTTGCAATAAAGAAATGTATTTTCTCTGATTCTTATATTTGGTTGCTGCGAGCCCTCTTATTCAAAAAGTGAAACTAATAAAAAATATTAATTCTACGAAAACTTTAACATAAATGCACAATAATTCGTTAATAAGTACTTTTTTACGAATAATATAAATAACATACATTTAACAAATTTACACTATCATTTTAAACTGATATTCTAAAATCTTATTAAATTACCTAAATATTGTTAATCCAAAACTATACAATGGATATAATTGCATCAAAGAATACCCTACAATATGTGATGCCATATCGTCAATAGGTACGTCACAGCCTTCGACCCTGATTTGTCTTATCTTCCCACTTTTCCTCGCTTCAAATAAATCATGCATACAATTCGTGATGGAATCGGAATACATCAAGTAACCCCTCACCTATGTGATCCGGCTGTTTGCTACATTTCTTCGCGATATAAATTATCGTTAACCTTCCAACAAATTTGATACAAATAAACTTATTTTCTCAACTTCCATGGTGATGTAAATAAATTATAAAATTAAGTTTTAAAACTTGACCACAATAGAAACCTATCTGAGTCAAGCTTTATTTTCATTATCTATTATAACACAATTACTTATTGCTGAAACAGTTAATTATATAAATAATTAACCATGATATTGTTACAAATACATAACAAAAGCGAAAATTTTGTCATTTACACTGATAGAATTTATTGTTTGTTTCATTATAATATTTTGTTTTTATTGTGGCTATAATTTTATTTAGAGAAAGCTATTTTTTGTTATCGATTTGAATATTATCTAAAAGACACATTTGATTAATTTTGAATATATTTATATACTGATTATTATTACTTTAATTTACTTTAAGTGTTGGTTTTTTGACACCAATCTACATATATATATATATTGACAGCAAAAGGCTAATTGTTTTTATTTTTCAATTTGTAAAATGATTTATTAGTTTTATTTCAAAATTTTATCATAATAATTCTGTGCGATGACTACAATAAACACTCGATCTAAATCTCCAACCAGAGCAGAAGCTATAGCTAAAGCTTTGAAACCTGGTCCGGTTTTCTGTACAGGAGTACTCCTAGATAACGGACGAGGCAATGACGACCGAGCAGTGGCGGTATAACCATACGCCCTACTGAATTATCTACGTCATCTTCAGTAGGAAGAGGCTACAGCGACCTTGGAGTTTAAATAGCTCCTAAAATGTCTGGTGCAGAAGGCAAGGGGAAACCACTGCACTATATTCCCAAGAAAGTCATCATCAAGTTAGACGAGTGGCGACGTGTTGTGAAGCGTGCCACCGCACATAATGATGACCACGACCGTTCTGCCAAGAACGTATCGACTTAGAAGAAGAACAATATATATATATATATATATATATATATATATATATATATATATATATTGTTATACGATAAATATATTGTGAAAAATAACAAATAATATAAGAAAAGTATCTATAAAATTGTCTGAAACCGATATATACATTTAATACATATATTTAACAAACCTACTTCAATTGAAATAATTATCAATATTCATCCATTTTAGTTAATTAACAACTTATTGCAAATTTAGTTCTTTAAAGTAAAAAACCTTTTATCAAAATAACCGTTCAAACGTGAGTACGCAATCAGTAAAATAATAATTGTAACAAATCCAACGTTACTAAATGGAACATAATTATTAATTATAAATTGCCAACAAAGAGAATTATTTTCAGATTGAACATTTGATTTTATCGAAAATTGAAATTGAACAAGTATATTTGCGGTATTTTTAAAAGACTGCTATTCGGACCAGCGGAGTACCTATTGCTAAGACATTTAGAAAATTTGTTTGACAACCACGTACGAGTACGTTATAAGATTTCTGTTGAAGTTTTCTCTCGAAAAAATTCAGAAACACGCGTTGTTTCAACTGTGTAGTCTGGTTCAATAATTATTTGAGATGTTATTATTTAGATTGTTAATAATTTCTAAATAATATATTAATAGATAAAATTTGTTATTAGAAACTTTGAAAATCCTTAAAATAATATAACAGACATATAAAAAAAAAATGATACATCTAAACACTGAAATTGTGAAAATGTTGATGTGTATCATACAAAAATCCAATTATGTTGTAGTTTTCTTTTTGGGGCCATATTTAATTAAAACTCCTTGTATTTTATCAGAGCCATAACTATTGTGCCTGACTATATCTTATGAAAGGATAACACTTTGTCGAATTCGGCGCGAAGTTTCAAAATAAATTTAAAAGCTACAACAACTTTAGACCACGTTGTTTGAAGAAAATGCTTGCGAGCAATACGTGCCTCTTAATAAAAATGGATCATTAAAACGACGACTTTTTTGTTATATAATAAGATATATTTATACCAATTTATTTTACAGTTAGTATTAAAAGGTAACAGTTTACCTAATATGTTGATAGGTGTAAATTAAGTGTGTATAATCTTAAGAAATAAGAAAAAAAAAGATTAAGACTTACTTAAAAATACTAATATTACTAGTTACATTTTTAACAAAACGGATGGGTTCTCTACCGATACCTAAAATCTACATGACAATGCCTTTCCCCTTTACTAGTCAATCGTTAACCTTATACATTTCCATAGGGGTTTCATATAAATGTCTTGAATTGGTGCTTTTGCTTTTATCTTACAAGCATTGGCCGACCAAGTTACTGTTACATACTATATCTAAAACCTATGGGTACTATTGAATTCTAAGTTTGTGAAACATAATCGCTATTATTCAGAATTAGAATCAATATAATCGGACCACTCGTCTTCAGAATAAAAGTCCTAAAACATGTACACAACTTCAACTTTCTGTCCATATTTTCGACATGTCGTTAATAATTTTGCTTCAATTTAAATATGTATGAAAATATTAAACAACAGCTATGTACCTTTAGACGTCACAAACTACTCATATTAAATTCTATAGAAGAAGGAGGTTAAGATGCAAATAAAATATAAATAAAGTTAAAATTAATGCTAAAACTCTGGCTGTGTTTTTTGATAGCCGAACCCGTTTCTTCCGGGCTATAAAACTTTTATAAAGGTGACGTCCCAAACGTATAGTTGGGAGCAATTCGGAATGATAAACTTTTAAACTTCACAACTGATTGGGTTAGATGTTTTATTTTTACAAAATAATATATAATTCATATTTAAGGACTCCAATTTCATAACATTATCACTACGTTTAAGAATGCAAAATATGTGAGTTATAACAAAACAATACCAATTCGAAATCTATACTACATGTAGATACATAAAAATTATGAATATGATATATGAGCCTATTAAAAAAAGTTTGATTTTTTTTAAAGAAAGACGAATTGAATTTGATATTATTTACTTTTATTAACAAATAATAAGATTTATATAATCCAATAAAAAGAGGAACGAATTGTTATAAATAAAGGTACCAAAAAAACTTCATTGCTTATTCACCGGAAGGCTCTTACACAACTTTTCCATCTTCTTATAACATCTTTCTTGACTTTTAAGGTACTTTGAATTTTTACTTGTTTTATGAGGTTTGATATACCAATACTATTGTCAATAATAAAGTAGAAAAGTTGTGTTTTCTGTTTAGGTATGACCTATAATCGCATATATATTTTTTTGTCTTTTACAATTTTTACGTCTTTTTAAACAACCAACAATTATCTGGAATATTTTGAGTTAATTTGATTTTATTTCTTCATTGATAAAGAGATCTTACATGGGATTTATTATTTTGACAAATAATGAAATGTTCATTAAAATTGGAGGCGAAAAACGATTATTATAAAAACCAAAGAGCTGTTCTGATTGAATTCATTATATATTCTGCCAGCCAACATTCAGGACGTAGTGAAAAAACGAATTAGGTAGTGCAACCTGCTTATTGGGATGAGATGCGACGTTTCTTTGCATATTTTCATAGTCGGTAGGTTTGCTTCTTTACCTGAGAACCATCGAAAAACGCGGG